GATTAAGGTGATGACATTCATTATTATGTAGAAGAAAATCATATTTTTCAGGAAATCAAATAAAATTGTGATTTTAACTTAATCTTAAATGTTGCAGGACCTGGAAAAGAAGTTGCAGACTGGTGACATTCTGTCAAACAGAATGTATCTTTGGAAACTCAAAGGCTTAGATCCAACCATTCGAAAGTCATACAGAGAGCATGTCACCATTTTTAATGACATGATGGTACGTTGTCATTGCTTTATGTAATTCAATTCAAAACCATGTCAAAATACAAAACTGAATGAGCTACTGTTAGTGTGTATTCTCAAAGAATGTTCCAGGGAATCGTGATGTATGTCCCGTTTGAGATTCCATAGTATTCTTTTTGAATTATTTGTTGTATTTTTTTAATGCTGTACGATGTCATCCTAGTTACAGAAAAACATTAAAAAGCATCCAATCAAATGCTAAAATGTAAATGTCTTGTAAATTTCAATTTGCAACACTCATGATAACTGCCTCCCTTGTTGTTACAGACAGAGGTTCTCATCACACGGCTTGAAAACATTCTGTATGTCCCTGGCAGTGGAGTTGTTGACCAACACATGGTCACAGAGGTGATTCTGCCTGAGATGAGCTTCAGTCCCTAAAACTGAAAAAGACAAAACAATTACTAATGGCATAGGTTTGTAAGTGTAAATGGTCTTGGTGACAAAAAAACACCTTTATATATCCATCTCTGCAGGTGAAGATTGTCAGTCATCCATGTCATCAACTCCCCTTTACAAAGGCTTTCAGTTTAATTTGCATGTTATCTAAGCCATAAAAAGGCATTTTTGCCCAGTAGTATAAAAGCTTGGACCTTTTTTGGAAAGAATATGTCCATCTGTATTTTTAGTGGACCAACAACTATCAAGGATGAGAGATCTTCAGAAAGCATTAAAAAAGGATTTTATAACGTGAAATGGGTAACATTTGAGTTTTACATAGGGGTTTGATCCTTTATGTACTCATCTGAACATTAACTGCACACAAAATGACAGACAACAAATGCTGATTTGATTGGGATGGAGAAAACTGAACAGATCATACGATGGAGTGATAACACAACAAAGCAGAAAACATTGCCAAAAATAACTTGGCACAAAAAATGTAATATTTCAGTGACAGCAACAACTTTAATAACAACTGAACTTGAACAATGTCTCCCTCTTGAGTCCTTTTGTAAAAATAGGTACCAATTTTACAATGGCTTCCAACACTGCCAGGTGATTTCTTGTCTGCATAACCAAAACAAACTTTAAAAACAAAAGAAATGTAAATAGACAATTGACAAATATCACAGTGGTCACCCATAAAAATATTTGTCCTGATGCAATGCCCTTAACTTAAATGATGCATCATATGTAAATGGTGTTAGGGAATAATAAGCAATGCTAAAATTGTGTGATAATAAGAGTATCCATTATAAAAAAATAAAACATTTGAACATGGAAATGTGACTGATTTAGTATTTTACAACTGCTGTACATTATTTGTATCTTTTTAGGTTGTCATCCAGTGGCTGCGAAACAACAACCTTTGCCGCTACCAAGCCGAGATGATGCTCATGAATACCGTGAAGGAAAATGAGGGGTAAATAACAACTGCGTGTGCACAACTACATATACTGCATTCATTAAAGGATACAGTACTGGCTCACCCCCCTCTCTCTTTTTGTTCATTTATTTCCAGACTTTCAGAATCCCAGGAAGAAGAAGCCACAGAAAAGGTTAACAGAAAAGGGTTAAACTACATAGCTATTTGAATGTAATCTGTTTTTGTCAAATGTAAAAGGAAACATGATCCCTTGATGTAGGCTAAATTAGCAATCTGTAACTAATCTCCTATCATTTTCTGCAGGGAAGCCCGTTCATTGTCGATAGTCAGGCTGCAGCTGACTGGTGCAGAGAACAAAAATTTAGTGGAAGAATAACACTTCCTGTTGTTCTGGATATGGACAAGCTAGAACAAGCAGAAGCTCTCGAGGCCCTCAAGACATGGGATGAAGACTATCATGAATATTCTCCAGCAGAGCATTTTACTTTTGTTTTTGAAAAGAAGGAGGATTATGAAAAGTTCTGTTTGTACATTGTGGATGTAAAAAAACTAAAAGTTTTTGCAAGATTTGAATAACTTCTGTAAATAAAGACTTTTACAAGTAACCATATATCTTTATTGCTGCAGCCTATCTGGATTTTAGATAGATTTAAGGAGAGACACATACTAATCATCACCATAGAATTACAATTACTACGACCTGTGGTGGTTTTTCAATGGTAAAAAGTCAAAAAATCAGGACACCTTCAGTTGATCATCTGATTGCCCCAGGACGGGAGAAGAAGCATTTATTTTATAGATCAAATTGACATGCTGTCCTCAGTACACGTAACACAGCGCTGAACATCCGAACAG